CTCTGGCTAGAGGGCACTGACAAACCAGAGTCATAGCTGTCTACAAAGCCCCCACAGTGGTTCTCAGACTTTATCACCCAGGCTTCTTAAAACAGATTGCTCCACCCCACCCCAAGAGTTTGATTCTATAAGTCTGAGGTGGGGGTTTTAGAATCTGTATATCTAACAAGTTCCAGGTGATGCTGAGGCTACAAGTCTGGGGACCGTACTGCCTTAAATTACCTGTGGCTTCCTTTTATTTCAAATTTAGCCTACTTCTGCATCCTCATTTCTTACTTCATTCTACTCCAGCTGCACTGGCCTCCTTGCTGTCTTGAGCCTCCCCATACTCATGCCTGTATTAGGATTTTGCTTTGAATGGCTTCTACAAAAAAAAAAAATGCTTACTCTCTCACTTCTCAAGGAGACCTATCCTAATTTCCTTACCCTGCCTTTTAAAACTGTATTCCCATAACATTTAATCACCTTCTAACATGCAGTCTAATTTACTTGTTTATTATATTTATTGTTTTGCTCTCTTCCTACTAATAAAAGAATGACAGCCTTAGGACAGCTGACATTTTTGTTTATTTTGTTTGCTTCTGTATTCTCAGATCTCGAAAAATATCTAGCAAATAGTCCATGCTCAACAAAAGTTTGCTGAATGAAATGCTCCTTCCAGCTTTTCACTTTCTTCTCCAGTCACGGCATTCTTGCCTTTGGCTCTTCCTATTAATGCAATCACCCTCCTGCTAGCCCAGACTCTTGACAGTTAAATTATCCAGCTCCTGCGAGTTTTTAGGACCAACAGGCTTAGGCCAGGAATACAAAGCAGGTAAGTAACTCACAAGTCAAGGAGGCCAAACAAAGCCAGCATATTGCATTTATCTCTTAGCTTTTCTTCTCCAGATGACCTCCACCAACCTACTTCCTCTCTTGTTTTCAAACTTCTTCTCACCTGACTTTTTCCTCTCTTCACCACCAACATGGTTATGGTAAACCCTCCCCCGATGCTGCACCACCCTTGCGAAACTGTCCCATCTCCCAGTTCTATGACATTGCTCCTTCTGACTCCGTTTTCCATTTCTAGCTCCCTGAAATTTTGCTTTTGAAGTTTCATTACCTCCTTCTTCCTAAATCCAACTACAATATTCGGTCTTGATCTTTTTCGCTACGCTGCTGAATTTAACACAACCTTCTAGAAACTCTCTTCCAGAACAGCGCGAGCTGCTTCCACTTCCTTTACTGCTTCTCCTCGGGTCTTTCCTATTCCTCTCTTCACAAGTGTCCCCAAGTTCAAGCTGAGTTGTGGTTCTCTCGGCGCTAACGCGTTTCTGATGGCGCTAAGGGTTCAAGCTGGAGAGGTGATTTGACTCTCGGCGGAGCCGCAGCTGAGCCCGGGGCGTGGAATGCAGGTTGACTTTCGAGGTCTTAGACAGAGCGGGAAGTTTGGTCCTCGGCAGCCGCCGTCCAGGACTGAGTGCGAAAGAAGGTCTAAGCGCCTGGGGTCGCAGGACCGGGCTTGGGAACCTGGCTGGAGATGGAGTTCGACTGCGAGGGTCTGAGACGGCTACTTGGCAAGGTGCGTACAACCCGCCGGGCTGGGTCTGGGGCTCCGGGGTCTCGGGAGCGTTTCGAGCCCTGGCCCGGCTGCCTCCTTGCCGTGGTTCACTGTTTGGTCATGGGGCTGGGAGCCCAGGCAGGCTGGACCGAAGCAGGCTGCGGGGTGTGGCCCTGGGCAGACCGCGCGCGGGCCTCTCCAGCTCGCGAGGCCGGGGCTCTGGCTCCGCCCAGAACTCCGAGGTCCCCCCAACCTCCACTCGGTCTGAGACCTTCTCATGCCTCCAGCTTCTCTTGGTCTCAAATAGCTCCCAGCACTCGCCTGTCCCATTAACCCACGCCCTTTTCTCTCTGCTGAAATGTCCTGTCCCATTTTTTTTCTGGACTTGCAATGCTCAGGCTTTGTAAGGGTCAGTTAAGATGGCGCTCTCTGGTAGATTGAATCACTCCCTTCTCTCTACTTGCTTTCAGCAATATCGATTATCATATTGTGGAGTATTTATTTACAAACCTTATTCATGCCTTTGAACTCCGACTCCCAAGTGAATGAAAGACCTGAGTAGACTTAGGAATGAAGCAGAGTTTGAAGGCCCAGAGGAGATTCTCTTAATTTGAAAGGTTGAGTGGAGAGCTGACCCAAAAGTCTGACCTACATTTCTGGGGTATGACTAGCGCCAGTTTCCGAGTTAGTCCAGTCTCTCTGATTCCCCACCAGTATATAGTCTGAGGCAACCCACCTTTTCACCAGTTTTTAGTTAAGTGATTCTTCATGTTTCTTAAGACTTCCCCATGCGGAGAGCATACTTTTATGCCATTTTATTGGATTTGCCTGAGTCTCCTTGTTGGGGCAGTTTGCACACCTGTGTGGGATTTTGAAGCCTGATGATTGAAATTGTTTATATATAATCGATTTGAATGATTTTATCTACTGTGGCAGGTGTAGATCTTGTAGAAAGAGAAGTATCATGCTTAGGATTACACCGTTTCTGTCTCTTCAGACAACATGAAATTAAAAGAACCTCGATCAAGTTTTTTAACGAGGGCAGCGTGATTTATTATTGTCCAGTAGGAAGAATTGTTAAAGTTGGTGGTAGAAAAAAACTTAATAATTTTGGTGGAACTGGGATGAAGGAAAAAGAGGGAAGAGACACAGTGATTTTCTCAAGGGTGGGAGTGACTAATGGAGGAATTTTTTTTATCATTGGTGCATAACATAGAGTCTGGCACATAGGTGCTCAATATTTATTGGATATGTAAATTTAGGAAACCATTTAGAAACAAGTCAGCCCTGCTAATAGTTATGAATTTTTATGGCCCTCACACTAGGAAATACTATAATAATTTAATATCTAGAAATAATTTTAATGCTAAAAATTCTGTAAAGTGAACAATACATTAAAATCAAACAATAGTATGGAGAAAGTGAATTTTTTATTGAAAACAAACGACAAATATTCCAACAAAAATGAATATTCCAACTTCATGGATATGAAGAAGTCAGCTCTCCAAACTGATCTATAGTGTCAATGAAATTCCAATGAAAATTCTAACAGGTTATTCTGGGAACTTTTCAAACTGATTCTAAAATCCATTAGGAAGGGCCGAAGGCCAGCAATAATCTCGACATTCTTACAGAAGAAAAGTAGGTGTGGAGACTTGCACTACTAGATGTCAAGACTAGTAATTAAGGTTTAGTGTGGTATTGATATAGGATAGATAAATTAACCAGTGGAACAGACTAAAGGACTTAAAATCATACACATTTGGAAATACAGTATGAAACGAGATGAAAACTGTATAATTTTATTAACCAATGTCACCTCAATAAATTTAATTTTTTTAAAAAAAAGACACTACAGATAAGTACAGAAAGGAAACTACAGGGACAAATGATTATCCATATGGGAAAAGAATGAAAGTGGATTCCTGCCTCTTACCAAACTTAAAAATTCTTTGTGGATTAAAGAGCTAAATGTAAAAGACAAACTTTAAAATGTAACGAGTTGAATGGGGGCGAATCCTTATGGATTCAGAGTATGCAAACATTTTTTAAAATACGTAAAATAGAGACTGATAAGTTTGACTGCATTCAAATTAAGGACTTCTAGATATCGAAGGCCAGCACAAAGAGGGTGAAGAGTCAAAATGCAATCTTATAAAAGAATTTTGTAACATGTAACTGACAAAGTATTGATATCCAGAATATGTAAATCAACATACCTACAAATCAATATTAAAACAAACAGAAAATGAACAAAAGACATGAACAGTCATTTTTTTTAAAAGAACAAACAGGGAAATGAATGTTCCATTAGTAACCATGGAAAAGCAAATTAAGACAAGATAATTTCAAATGATTTGGAGGATGTGAATGAATTGGAATTTTAAACACTGCTAACGGTTAAATGGTTATTTTTGGAAACAATTTTTTCCATTTTTGGAAACAATTTGGCCTTATTTTATTGATTTGATTATATGTGTTTTATGTCCCTTCTACATCTTGGTAGATACTAGAGAGAATTCAGAATATATAAAGCAAGAGACATTTGCAGAATTGTTTTTGATTAAAAATTAGAAACAACCCAAATATGAACTGACAAAGCTAGGATAATTTATTGTATATTTACACACAAAACACCACTATGCAGTAGTGAAAATGAATGAGCTACAATATGCAACAATACAAGCGAATTTTAAAACAAACACTATATTGAGTGAAAAAAAAATCACATTATATAAGAAATTATATTTTGATAAAACCAAGAAACAAAACTAAACAAAAATTAAACAATAATGTGTTGTTTAGGGATACACATGTATTTGATAAAACTATGGAGGGCAAAAGCAAAGGAATGTGAGTACACAATTCAAGGGAGGCAGTTGAATGGGCAAAAGAAGGGGTACTCAGATGTAATGGCATTGGGAAGGTCTGTTGTACAATATGGGAGCCATTAGCCATATGTGGCTATTAATCAAGATTAGATAAAATTAAAAATTGAGTTTCTTAGTCACAGCAGCCACATTTCAAGTGTCAATAGCCACCTGTGGCTTGTGGCTGTTGTATTGGACAGCACACATTTAGACCCTTTTCCATCATGGTAGAAAGTTTTGTTAGATAGCATTGTTCTAGGTTGCATGTGGGTAGTTTGGTGCATGAGTGTTTATTCTTCAAAATGTGTGTATATGTAAACATGTATACTATTTAGTTTGTATTAAATATTAAGTTTAGAAAAATTCTCTGTGGTTTCCAAATTCATGTTTCCCACTCACCTGACTGAGTTGCCTTGGACAGGTAAATTAACCTAGATTTGCTCATTCATAAAGGATAAGATTGGACTTGACCTGGGAAATTCCTTCCTGCTAAAAATTTATTTATGAAATGCCACAAAATATTCCTACATTTGAGCAGTGTTGTACAAGAATATCTTGATGTTGAGAAATATCAGTCTACTAACATACTGTAGTATACCAGATAAAGTTAAAATTTTAGTAACATCAATTTTTCAGTCTTACTGATTTTTATGACAGTGTAATTGCTTTAGTCTTAGAATTTCACGTTCTCTTTAGTGCTGTGCCTTCACTCTTTAAGCACACGGCATTATCTGAGGCACATTTCCTTAGAGAATGTTATGCAGACTTCTAGGTGGTATACAAGAAGTAATGGAATATGTGTCTTAATATTACACTGAGAAGATATTCTGTTTCATATATAATAAAAATGACGTGAATTTTGGGGGGAGACAGATAAAATACATCTCTCTCTCTTTTTTTTTAGGTGTCAAAAAGACAAATCATATTTTGACTGGTAGTGGTGACTTGGGTTTTCAAGCCCTAAGGAAGAGTGCTTTTCCCCGCTTAGGACAAACTTTTATAGCAGTTTGCAATTCAATCCTAATATATATCTCGGTAGCCATTAATAATCACATTCTCACAGGACGTTAAGAATGTAGAATACAGCTTATACTATTAAGTAGAAAACAACGCAAAAATTGTTTTTGTTCATAATAAATATATATTACAGGTGACAACAATGCAGCCTTTTGTACATTTGTGTAGTGTTTGGAGTTGGGATGACTTCATTCACTTTTGTTTACCTGGAATCAGGGACAGTGAATCTGAGGCTAATTTCACCCTGCTGTAGTTAATAGTGATCAGTTCTTAGTTTTGATGCTTAGTCCTATGGATCACAGTTGCTTTCTACATCCACTCATATAAATCTGCCTCTTTGCTAACTCCCATCAAATCAGCCTGCATTTATTGTATGCATACCCTGTGCTAACTGCCGTAGGGAGAAAACAGAGATGACTAAGAGAGAATGCCTGCCCTTGAGTTGTTAATAATCATAGACTTTTTCTTCTGCCATATTCTTTCCCATCTTAAAATGACCTTATAGGAAGAGAAGTATCTTCCCTCTAATTTTCTCTAGCATTCTAGACTTTAAGTTGAATTGTAGACAGCTCTTCCTGGAGGCCTTTCTGTAACTTAGATATGCTTTATGTTGATTCATTGTTTCTTGTCTGTACTTTGTATACAATTTAATATCCACTTTTATGTATGTTAATCATGAAATCCTCATATACCCATATTGAAGTTGGTAGGCAGTAGAGCTATCTCCCTCTCACAGATAAAAACTTTAAGGCTCAGAGAGAGGAAACAGGTTCTGTTAGCAGTCATTCCCCATTTTCTCCCAATTTCTCCCAGCCCTAGGCATCCTACTAATCTACTTTCTGTTTCTGTGGATTTGCCTAGTCTAGGTATTTCATAGACAAATCATACAATATGTGTCTGGTTCCTTTCACCTTAGCATAATGTTTTCAAGGTTCAGCCATTCATGTTGTATGTATCTGTTTATTTTTATGACTGAATATACCATTTTATTGATATATCACATTTTATCCATTCATCAGTTGATAGACATTTGCATTGTTTTCACTTTTTGGCTGTTATGAATAATGCTGCTGTTAATAGTTGTGCACAAGTTTTTGTGTGGACATGTGTTTTCATATTTCTTGGGTATGTACCTAAGAGTGGAATGGCTGGATTGAATGGAAACTTTGTGTTTAATCTTTTCAATAACTGCCAGACTATTTTTTTCCAAAACAGCTGCACCATTTTACTACCAGCGGTGGTGTATGAATGTGAGGGTTCTGATATTTCCACATCTTCTTCATATATATGGAGAGAGAGAGAGAGAGAGTGCCTGTGAGCGAGGCTGTCTTGATTATAGTATGAATCCTCCAACTCTGTTCTTTTTCAAGATTGTTTTGGCTGTTCTGGGTACCTCGAATTTCCATATAAATTTAAAATCAGTTTGTAAATTTTTACAAACAAACATGGAAAGCTAGCTGAGATTTTGATAAGGATCGCCAATTATTGAATCTGTGGGGGAGTATTGCCATCTTAACAATATTATGTCTTCTGATCTATCAACAAGGAATGTCTTTCTATTTATTTACATCTACTTTAATTTCTTTCAGCATGTTCTGTAGTTTTTATCCTCTACAGTCCTGTGCTGTACCAGCTGAGCTATTAAAGGCCCCACTTGTTTTGTAGTTTTTAGAATCAAAGTTTTGAATCTTATTATATTTATTCTTAAGTACTGTATTCTTTTTGATGCTATTGCAAATGCAATTCTTTTCTCAAATTTATTTTCAGAATGGTAATAGACTCTTAACATACTTTTCCTTTTATTTAATCCTCAGCACAAGTCTAGAAGGTGGGTATTATTTCTCTTTGCAAATGAAAAAATAAGTTCAAAGAAATTAAATGATTTGCCTACAGGGTAACCAAGGTAATATTTCTGGAAGCACATCCAGATGAATGAGGAGACAGTTCACTCAACCTGACTGCAAACACTGGCATGCTTTCTGTTCTCCCTTTGAAACTCAAGATGCATTCCAGGAGGGTTGGAAGGGAAATTCACGGTGTCTTAAGTGAATGGATGAGGTGTTCAAGAATAAGAGTTGGATCTTGAACAGTGATAACAGTGGTGATATATCCTGCCCTACTTCTTAAGCTTTCAGGAGGTATTTGGAGGCAATTTGTTAAAGATGCAGGTCCTTATCTGTCTTCTCTACTTAACTTGTTGTCTAACTTGGCAAGTTATTTTGATTCTCTAACTTTCATCTCTAGTTATAAGCCCTATTTCACAGGGTTGTTATAAAATGATTAAATCAAATACTATTCATGTTTGTACAACTCAGAGCCCAGGGCCCTTAGCATATAGTAAATGTTCATTTAAACATTCATTGTAATTGTTCTGTTGCCTATAGATTTATTCTTATTTCATACTCATTTTTCTCTTTGCAGTACAAGTTCAGGGATCTAACTGTGGAAGAACTAAAGAATGTAAATATGTTTTTCCCACATTTCAGATATTCCATGGACACCTATGGTAAGAATCATATTCTCTAGTTTTTGCTACATTATGTAAATTATTGTTTGTTCCTAGAGAGCTACAAAGTTATCATTTCTCTTTTCTCTCCTTTATCCCCTAATTTTGCACTACACTTTGTGACCTGTGGTTTCTGCAGAAATTTAAGTTAATACAATTTATATCCTATTAATTTTTTATTGCTGCCATAACAAATTAGCACAAACTTAGTGGCTTAAAACAACACAAATTTACAATGTTACAGTTCTGCAGGCCAGAAGTTCAACACCAGTTAGAAGTTATGACTAAAACCAAGGTGTTGGCAGATCTTAGTTCCTTTCTGGAGGCTCTGAGAGAGAATCCGTTTCCTTGTCTTTTTCAGTTTCTAAGGTCGCCCACGTTCTTTGGCCTGAGGTCTCCTTCTTCCATCTTCAAAGCTAGCAATGTTGCATCTCTCATACCATCCCTATGTAGTCATATACCCCTCTGAGCACAGCTAGAGAAGGTTCTCTGCTTTTAAGGACCAATGTGATTAAATTAAGCCCACTCCAGTAATACAGGATAATTTCCCCATCTCAGGGTCCTTAACTTATTTGCATCTCAAAAGTCTCTTTAAGTACAAGTTCCAAGGATTAGGATATTGGATATCTTTGGAGGCCATTATTCTGCCAATCACATGTATGGTTGATTCTAAATTATTAATAGCAAAGTTTTAGTTATCCTGTTCACTTAATATAGAGGGTCTGGCTACCTAAGAAAGATTTTACTATTTTTCAAAAAATTCTAACTATAACCCACACTTGGAACTACATTTCGTATCACGATCCCATATACACATAACTAAAATACTGTGGATCCTCTGGCATGTTCTCTTCTTTTTCATTCCATTTAAAACAAATGCTGGTTGAGACTAATTTCATGCATAAGTCAAAACACACAGATTTGAAAAATTTCTTTATTCTACATGGGTATGTTTTATATTTGAATTAGTTTGGGTTAAGAAAATATATCTAATTCGGATTTATATCTTAGAAATTTCGAGGAGTTATTGAAGTATTTCTTAGGAATAACTAATTTTATATGTGGAAAAAATGAGTAGTTCTGGCCTGTGACTGGATTCTTTTGATTGGCACATAGCTATTGGGTGCTGCATAAATGTGTGAGATGAGGGTTATAACATCTACTATTTATTGAATGCTAGATATGCTTCCAACTTACCTAAGTTATATGACATATGTTTTTACAACCAAAGCTGTGAGGTATTATCATCTTAATTTTTCAGGTAAGGAAATCAAGGCTCAGAGACTTTAAATAAATTGCTCAAGATTACACACCTAGTTAGGGATGGAATTAGGGTTCGTACCCATGTCTGCTTTGCCTTCTGCTTAAATACTGCTTTTACAAGGTCTTCATCGTACTGATTCATTATACCAGTTCGTTCTTATTTTCATTCCCCCTATCTAGAGAAAGTGAGCTATGGTACCATTAGACCATCAAGCTTAGGATTTGTATTGTCAACATACATTTTATTATTAAAGACAATGATAGTCATGCATCATAATAGCTTCTATTTTGACTTTTTGAATAATTTGATCAGACAATAAATATTTATACCTATAGTTTCTCTACCACATTTCTAAGCTATTCTGTGTCCACGAGTAACAGTCTCTATTCCACATTTCTTTCCATTTTAATTTTTTCCTTGGAGTGATCCCCTCACCCATTGTTACCTTTCACTCATATAGTTCAAGGTAAACATTTGTACTTGTGTACACTCTTAGCCTTGAGTTTTATGTCAGCCTGGTTTCCTCTTTCCCCGTTCTAATAGGTCATCAAGTCTATTTGGAGATTTTTCTTCTTGCCTTAATAATATAGCTACCAAGGTACTAAAAGGACGACATTCCAAGGCAGTATGTTAGTTTGAAGCCAGAGGTAGTGTTTTTTTGTATTCAGTTCAGAGATTAGGGCATTAGTTCTCCACCAGTGTATCCCAGTTCTTGATGGGTAAGTTGAAATTTCAAGGATGTGAGGGTTGAAAAAAAGTTGAGAATAATGGAGTTAGAGAAACCAAGGAAGATAATTATTGATATTTCTAAAAGGTCACTTTAAAAAACAAAGCTAACATTTTTTTCTGATTATAAAAGTTATAATCTGATTTCTGAACATGGTTATAACTGATTTGCTACATGTGACGATTATTTAACAATGTCCTCACATTTCTTACTCTTAACTTCTTATTAAGGGTTTTCATATTATCTCATTGGATCCTTATGACAACTTTCTAATGCAGTCTTATTATCTTTATTTTATAGAAGATGAACTTGAAGGTCAAAAAGATTAACCAAAAGTTACATGCCTCTAAGTGAGAAAAGTGGGCCTGGAACTTGGGATTTCAGTATCAAAGTCCTATGTTCTTTCAGCTATCCTCTCTGCTTTCTAAGAAAACAACATCTAGTAATTTCCCATTGTCAACATTTTGACTGATTCCCAGATGATGGTATTTAGAAATTGTGGGTGTGTCTATACGTGTGTATGTGCATGTGTGTGTTTCGTGACCGTTGAGTCGTCTCTGATTCCTGGCGACCTAATTTTAATACAGTTCTTCCTACTTCTGATTGCACATTTGGGGCTTTTTTTTTTCCCTTCCAGTTTTCAAAGATAGTTCCCAGAAAGACCTACTGAATTTCACTGGTACAGTTCCTGTGATGTATCAGGGTAAGTGCGGAAGTTGAGAAATTGTGGGAATTTTCTAAAAGAACAGTTTAATAAGAACTTACATTTGTTTAATGCCATAACATTCTCAAAATATTTTGACATGTACATGGTCTATACAGAACCTTATCAAATCTACCAGATTGCTATCTCAGTCAAGGAAGGCCTAGATTAATATCAACAAATATCAATTCAGTAAATATTTATTAAGTGTCAACTTCTCTGCTAGGTGCTAGAGTATAGAAGAGAGCAAGACAGACATGGATCAGCTTTGGTGGAAAGTTATCTCTGTTTTCCACAGCAGGCTGCTTTACATCAGTGTTTTGTTCCTCTCCCTTTCCCTCTATATGATGTAGCATTAATCTCATTCTATAGGTAAAATTGAGTCTAAGCTTAGAGAAGTGATTTACCTAAGACCACACATCTGGTTTCAGGCTAGAACTTCAAACTCCCAATAAGAACATTTTAAAACACGGAGGTCATTAAAGCTCAAAGAAAGCAACACATTTTCAGCGACCTAACAGGTCACTGAAATAGGTAAGTGTTTACCCAAAAAGAAAAAAAAAATCACTGACTTTCCTATACATAACTCTTTCTATTTGTCTAGACCTACTTCCTCCAGTGTTCAACAGGACTAACCTTGCAAATAGGTATCAGGAGAGATTGCGTATAATTGGAAGAACATCAGTGAAGCGTTGGTTACAATATATTTCTCTGAAGTGGTACCTGAAATTCCACCATTAAAATTTCATTCCTCTTTTAAAATGCAAATAATCCCAGGAGGGATAACATCCCAAATTACTAATATACATTGCTGTGCTTATAGAAAATGCTCAGGAAATATTTGTTGAATGATTGCACTAGTTTGATTACTGACTGAAGGGCTTAGGAAAAATGAACTTACTGGGCATTTCAAAGAGGAGGTGCACTGAAAAAGTGCTGAGGAGGATCTGGAAACCAAATGGGGAGAGAACAGTGGAGTTCACTGTCTCTTACAAACGGTTGAGCACTATATGATGAGAATACATTGCCCAAAAGACATCAAGAAGCTATATTTTGGGGACTTTTTTCAAAGTAGGTGCTTCATTATAGTAGTTTCCAAACTGTTACAAACCCTCCTTAATTTCTTCCTTCTGCCATGATGACTTTATTCTGCCTCTGTTTATGTCCCACCATGACACCTCCTTTGGCACAGGAAATGCATAGGAATTTAGTTTGGTTTTTGCACATAGGAGTGTGGTTGCAGATAAAAGTAGGTAGCAGTGGACTCTGCAGAAATTGCAGTGAGATAGGCAGAACAGACATAGAGTCGATTTTTATTTTCCTTTTGTGCTCCTCCTCTACCAAGCTCTCACATTGTTTTCTGCCTGCCTGGAGAACTGTAACCAGATTTGTTCCCTGTTACTTGTGTTCTGCATTTATTATGGTCAGATGTTAGAAAAAGAATTCTTACCTACCCCAAGTACTGACTGATTTCATAAGTCTTACCCACCCCAGTAATTTCAAGGGTGCTTGCATATTAACAGAGGAACTTATAAATTTAAATCAGGGGTCCCCAACCCTAGGGCCACAGAAGGATACGGGCCAGACAGCAGGAGGTGAGCAGCCGGTGAGCGAGTGAAGCTTCATCTGTATTTGCAGCCGCTCCCCAGTACTAGCATCACCACCTCAGCCCCACCTCAGATCATCAGGCATTAGAATCTCATAGGAGCACCGGTTCCTGGTGCCAAAAAGGTTGGGGACCGCTGATTTAAATGAATCATTGCTTAGTAGCATTTCAGTTTCTAGGACAGAGTGGGGAGGTAACAAGAGGGCATAAAAGTTACATTAATGCCATCGGTAAGATGCCCCTCATGAGCACTCTGCCTGTCCTAGGGCCATGGAGTTATGTCATTGATTTTTATGCTGGGTCTTTCAAGGTACTAATGGTGCCTGCAATACCTTTTTATTGGGAGTACACTTTTCTCCTTTGCTTTGACTAGAATTATATCAATGTGATATATCAATGTGATGCAT